CTCACTCACTCACTCACTCACTCACTCACTCACTCACTCACTCACTCACTCACTCACTCACTGTGACCCCCTGTGGTTTTCTGAGACTGTAACTGTTTGCAGGAGTAGAAAGCCAAGTCTTTCTCCCCACGGTGATTTTGAACTGCCGACCATGCGCGATCGCAGACCAACATATAACCACTACACCACACCGCCACCGCCACCGCTACTAAAATGCAGCTGAACAATTCAAAACTTCCCAAGGCGTCCTCTGTCCTCTGACGCTCCCCAAGGTTCCTGCGGTTCTTATCAGCTCTTTCGCGCCACCTGGTGGCCCCTTCCCGCCACTGCCCAGAAACCACGTGTAAGAAAGTGCTTACAACCTAACGACGTATTCTGATTTTGACCCATATTAGCCAATAGGAGAGGGAGAGGTGGGGCGGGGAGGAGGTTTTGTCCAATCATCTACTTCCTTTGTGGCGGAAGGCGGAGCTTGAGGTTTACCACGTTGGGTTTGTCTGCAGCGCTGATTACTTTTTCCAAAGGGTTGCGGGCTCCGCTCGGCCTGCCGCTGCCGCCTTCTTCCGCTCCTCCTCGGCCTGGACTGTCCGCGGGGCTCCACCGCCAGCAGGACCGTCATGTGTGACGGCGCCCTGTTGTCTCCTCTTGTCCTGCCGCTGCTATTGCTCCTACTGCTGGTTTGGGGACCGGACCCGGGCTCAGGTGAGCGTGTCCACTGCCGTTGGCCTTGTCTGGCCAGGCCACCTTCCTAGTGTTGACCGCGGTGTCCCGCGCCCCCTCCCGGGGAAGGCACGCTGGGCCGCGGCAGGGGAGGAGGCGCCGGCGGGCGGGGACCCGGTCGCCGGGCTCGGGACCGCTGAGCTGCCATCCGTTCCACGGGCTCGGCCGCTGTGCGGCGCGGTGCCGGCGCCGTGCTGGCTCGGCGGCACGGGAGCGCTGGCGTCCGCCCGAGGGGAGCTGGCGCGGCGGGAAGCCAGTGCGGGCAGGGTCGCTGGTCCCGGCTGGACCGGCGTGTCCCGAGGGCGGGCGCTGACACGTCTCCTCTCTCCCCGCAGCTGGCGGCGATGCGCTGACCGACGTGGAGGTGGTGCGCCCCCGGCGGGTGCGCCCCGACCAAGTGCCCCTGCCGCCCCTGCCCAGCGCGCCGGGGTCCCCGCGAAGGCGACGAGCCCGCGCCGCCCCCACGTCCCCGCCGACACAGCCGGGAGAGCGTGCCCTGCTGCTGCACCTGCCAGCCTTCGGGCGCGACTTGTACCTGCAACTGCGCCGCGACCTGCGCTTCCTGTCCGGGGGCTTCCAGGTGGAGGAGGCCGGGGCTGCCCGACCCCAGGGCCGGCCCGCCGAGCGGTGCTTTTACTCGGGCCACGTGCTCGGCCATCCTGGCTCCATCGCCTCCCTCAGCGCCTGTGGTGACGCCGGTGGCCTGGTACTGTCTGGCTCCCTGGGGGCGGGGGGCGTGTTCGTGAGAAGTTTAGTCTTAAACCCTTCCACTTCTCTACACCCCCGCCCAACACTCCACCCCCCCCTCCCCCCTCGCAATCCTGGCTGGGGTCCTGAGCACAATGTGAGGCAGGGCAGGAAGGGAAGCATCAGATCTTCTAAAATGCGTCCTCCTACCCCCTCCCCCTCTCTTGTACCGAGCCTTGCTTTGGGAAGGGCCCGAGGCTGGGGAGTAAAGGGGTGGGGGTGGGGGCGAGGTGGGGTGAGAGGGTGGGTAGGAGTGGGGATGGGGAGGTGGGGAGGGCTGGGAAGGCAGAGTTGGATGCCACAGCTCCTTTGGGGGAGTTCTGATCTCTCCGAAGGAAACCTACACCCGAAATTAAGAGGTACTCTTCGTCCAGGTGTAGTCAGCCTCTGTGAGGCCCTTTGTGTGTACTGTAGAAATGCCTACTGTGTGTGCCTCCCACCTATGCTTTCTGGCCTTTACAGTCTTACCTGGGGAGAACGTTTGGAGACTCCCCAGACCCCACTCTTGTTGAAGCAGGAGGTCTTGAATTAAAGGGTGCCTGCATTCCCAGGCAGGCCACGGGAAGGCTCTGCTTACACTGCCAATGAGACCCTTGTCTTTAGATTCGTCCTTGCCATAGTAGCGCCCTCCCGACACAACTCCTTGCGTTCAGGGTGCTGGGGGTACGGCCACGAGCCCTGGAAATGTAGTGATTATGAATCGGCCTGTGATCTCCATAGATAGTTGGCAGTTGGAAACCACCAGCATCCCCACGGGAAAGACTGGGCTTTTTACTCTCATCAACAGTTACCCTCTGAAATCCGCAGAGGGCGCGGTCAGTAGGCGGATGGTTTTTTGGTTACAGGTGGTGGAGCAGACGCTCCTCACCTGGGGCTGGCTAACATTCCATCATTTGGCGGTCCTGGTGCCAGCCAAATCCTTCCTATGATCTCCACCCTCGCTTCACAGAGCACATATGGCTGGTAGACGGCACTGTCCGTAAAGCTTGGTGTTTGTCAGACCATGAAACATGCAGGGTTTCCCTGTCTCCAATCAACACTGCCTTCAGGGAGACAGTCTCTAATATTTTGTGTGTGTCTGTCCTTTCCAGGCACAAGAAACTACACCCCTCTCACCACCTTCACCTTCATTTGTTCTACCATCAATAACAATTTTCAGGATCTTAAACGCACAATGTACACCTAGAATCGGCATCAAAGCATGTGGGTAAATGCTGGGGTGAGTTTTTAAGGATTAGTCTTTTTTTTTTTTTTGGATTAGTCTTTTTTTAAAAAATAAATCATTTTATTAGATCATCTTATCACAATCCATACATTCATCCATTGTGTCAAGCACATTTGTATGTTTGTTGCCATCATCCTCAAAACATTTTCTTTGTACTTGAGACCTTGGTATCAGCTCCTCATTTCCCCCCCTCCCTCCCCCACCTTCCCATATGATCCCTTGATAATTATAAATTGTTATTTTCTCATGTCTTACACTGACCGATGTCTCCCTTCACCCACTTTTCTGTTGTCCATCCCCCAGGGAGGGGGTTATAGGTAGATCATTATGATCAATTCTCCCTTTTTCTCCTCACCTTTCCCTTACCCTCCTGGTATGGCTACTTGCAATATTGGTCCTGAGGGCTTTATCTGTCCTGGATTCCCTGTGTTTCCAGTTCCTATCTGTACCAGTGTACATCCTCTGGTCTAGCCAGATGTGTAAGGTAGAATTGGGGTCATGATAGTGGTGGAAGCATTTAAGAACTAGAGGAAAGTTGTATGTTTCCTCGTTGCTACACTGCACCCTGACTGGCTCGTCTCCTCTTTTGATAGCCGGGCACCATAAGGATTAGTCTTTAAAAGTTCCCGTTCCAGGAATTTTCTGAGTCCTGATTAAGCCACGATCTACTTTTGCTTGGCTGGGATTGGCTGCTTTTGGTTCAGCAGGAAAACTTATACCGACTCATGGGGGCATGGTGTGTCATTGGGGCTGTGAGTGAGGAGAGACAGTGAGACTGTGAGTGAGGAGAGACAGTGTGAGACTGTAGGTGAGGAGAGACAGTGTGAGACTGTAGGTGAGGAGAGACAGTGTGAGACTGTGGGTGAAAGACAGTGTGAGACTGTAGGTGAGGAGAGACAGTGTGAGACTGTAGGTGAGGAGAGACAGTGTGAGGCTGTAGGTGAGGAGAGACAGTGTGAGGCTGTAGGTGAGGAGAGACAGTGTGAGGCTGTAGGTGAGGAGAGACAGTGTGAGACTGTAGGTGAGGAGAGACAGTGTGAGGCTGTGGGTGAGGAGAGACAGTGTGAGACTGGGTGAGGAGACTGTGGGTGAGGAGAAACTGTGAAATTGTGTTTGAGGAGAGACAGTGTGAGACTGTGGGTGAGGAGAAACTGTGAAATTGTGTTTGAGGAGAGACAGTGTGAGACTGTGGGTGAGGAGAGACAATGTGAGACTGTGGGTGAGGAGAGACTGTGAAATTGTGTTTGAGGAGAGAGTGTGAGACCGTGGGTGAGG